TAATTGTTCTTGTTGTTGTCATAGTGATCATGATATTGGTTTATGGCTTTCTATCCAGGGTCTGAAATGCTTTTGCACAGCCACTGTCTTGTCAGATGATCACTGTGATGATATAACAGAAAGATCAAGAAGACTTCATGATGTTGACCATGAGATGACTGAATAATCAATCTTAAAGTGGTAAAGATCTGGATTTTTTACTTCCTTGAGTTTTTCTTTTTTAAGTTTATCTTTACTGTTGAAAGTATTACAAATGTCGTTTTCTCCCCATTGGACTTCCTTGAAATTTTCAACCTATAAGCAAAACAAAAAAGACCAAATTTGGGAACTGAGAGACAGAATATGCAAACAGACAATGGCTAGACCACATATAACCAAAGAACTCTAACCCACAACCTTTGCGGTAATCAGCCGGAATAATCAAGACTTGGCCAATGACTGCTAGCTTCTCTACTTTGTGCTCCCATTTCCAACTCAAAACCAGCCTAAGAAAGCCAAACATGTTCCCCAGGTGAGTCATGTGACATGCCCTGCTTCTAGTGAAAGCCTCCCGCTTTGCCATGCCAACCCCCTCTGATGACAGCCCACCTGAGGCCTCCCACCTCCTTTTGTTTCCACGGACTCCTCTGCCTGCCTTGAGTGTCTGCCAAAATCAGGGTGGAGTCCCCTGCTAGGGCACGTTCAGAATAAGTAGCTCTGCTTGGTCTTACTTGGGTGGTCTTTATTTCTACAAAGCTAAGGATTATAGATCATCCGGCCTCTCTTTAAAAATACAACTTTCTCTCACAATACTTCTTTTAATGGCTGTCTTGAGAGAGACCAGAATCTTCCCCTCCTCTGTATTATTCCTAGTCTTAAAAATCATTTCCTATTATCATCCCCCTGACCCCCAGACATTCATGAAGTCTCCCAAACCCTTTGGGTGTTCCTGGCCTCTCAGGCCCTGTGGCCACAGAGCCTTCAGGAAAAATGTCAAGGTCTTTAAAACTCTCTGAAGAAAGGCACAAGCATGGAGCAAGTCCTATGACCTTGGTGAGAAGAGCCCTGAGGCCAGGGGCTGTGAGGCAGGCACTGAATGGGCTCCCTGCAGCCTCTGGACACAGTCCCTCGCCTCAGGTAGCAAGAGGCAGCTTTATGCTCTTCCTTCTCCAGGGCTAGGCCCTTCTCAACTCACAGGAATGACTTTCCTTGGTGGGGAAATGACAAGTGCAGAAAGGGACTGGGGGTGGGGCAGGTGAGAAACAAGAGCAGCCAAAAAAATATGGTTTACTTTGGTGCTATTTACAAATTAACAAAGATCAATGAAAACATGGACATTTCAAATGGACTATGCATTTTTATTCAAGAACTTGACAGTGTGGCGCATGGTAAATATTGTTTGTATTGAAGCATCAAATGACTTCCTTCTCAAAAAATAAATTTTTTTCCTTTTTATATTTTCAGTTCTAGAATGCACTTTTCTTACCTTGCCTGTCCACATTTTGAACTTGAATTGTTCCTTGTCATCAGAAGGGATGCAGGATTATGGTCTTTCCTGGCGTGGGACAGAAGTCTTGAAGTCACAGTGGTGGGAGTAGTTTCAGATCATTGCCCTCTCCATGCTGCCTGGCCCAGCTTCCTGTGATGTCCACGTCCCTGCAGCCTGAAGCCAAATGGCCTCCCTGTCATGTTATCTTGCCTGGGCTCCCGCTGAGAGATCTTGGTTGGCCAGGTCCTGTGTTTTAACACGTCAGAAACATCTGCAAAAGTATCTTGTCACTTGACAGGGCAATCGAAACCTGAGTCGCAAAGATTAACCGTGCTTTCTTTTGGGTGTTCGCAGTGTGTGCCCCATTAACTTGAGGAGTGAAGCTTATTCTCTCAGCTGTTAGACAACCACCCACCCAGCCTGAGCCGCAGGACAGGGTAGCGTGCCTCAAATCGCAAACTTCTCTACCTACAGGTTCTGGTTTCGTATCACCTCAGCTAAGATAATCCTTCGTGGGAGTCCTAGCTTCCGAAAGAGGTGGGGGACTCTACACAGTTCTAACAGGCCATCCAGGCTGCAGAGTTGGAGAAGGGATGGGGACAGGGCAGGCAGGATCAGTGGCGGGGCACTTCTGTATGTAATGGCCCAGGAGCAGAGGGTAAACTCCACACGTGCCTTTATGCTGAGATGCGCCCCATGCTGCACCTGCAGATCCACTCTCACTGCATCTCCCAGGGCCCTAGAGTTTAGGCATTTCCCAGAACCACCCTAAACACCACCAACTAAATACCCTTTGTGTGTGTATGTTGGAGGAAGGAGAAAAAGCCATTTACTGTGTGTGTATATGTGTGTGTGGGGGCGGGGGGGGGGGGAGATTATACTGCAAGAAATTGTGCTTTTCCTTTAAATTTTCTTCTATGTGTAAAGTATTTGTCCAAGTCCTTTTCTTAGACATTGTATTCAACATTTGCACCCAAATAAGCTGGCCTTGTGGTGGGAAGGGATTGTTTGTGGAAGCTGGCGGAGAATGTGCTTTTTAGGAAAAATAAACCAGAGACAAATGAAAAAATAAACCAGACAGAAACTCCTATGGTCATGTAAAGGGGTGTTTAGTATGTTAGCATTCACTTTCCTTGTCATGGGTTTCTAAAAGTGCAGAGGTAAAGGCTGTAGCAAATAACTGAGCCCTAGAAATTAGGTTTATTTCCAGTCCCTGTAGTCCGGATTGAAGAAGAAACTGAGAGTAGACTCAGGCACTGGGGCGAGCAGCTGCAGTTCCTGGGACGTGGGCAGCCCCCGGGGAAGAAGGCACAGGGAGTCCGTGTGTGCACACGCCTGACCCAGGAAGTGACACAGGCCCTCGGCAACCACACGTGAGATTTATGGTGGCAACAACTTGTGTTTGCTGACTGACCCACTCGTTGCCAGGAACTTTGAGGTGGAGCTCATAGAATTTCTGCACAGTCCAACGGGAGGATGGAAACAGAAGCACTCGGTATATTCAACTTCACAGTGCTTCGGGGCATAATTTCCCCTCCAACTTCCAATGGACTTTCAGTCATGACATGCATTTTACATCCTCTCTCCAACTGCAGCCTGTCCAACTCCAGCCTCAAGAAACAAGGGGCAAGCGCACTGCCAGGGAACCATAAACACCTGACCGTGGCCTTGGCTGCTGCTCTGTTCTTGGGAAGGAAACCTGAAGGCCGGGATTCTTTGAATAGCGGGACTGGATGAATTTTCAAGTTACTGTCAATGTGCCTGTTCACCTACACATTGTGCAAGATATGTCCCTAAGACCACCCAGAGCCTCCTGACCTTCCACCACTGTGAGCTCCCCAGTGGCTACCCCAACAGATTCCCTTGTGACATTTTAATCCTTGCACTGCAACTTCCAAATAAAAAACCTGATGTTTCCAATTAGGCAGTTAAACAGAGGAAAGAAGTTTACACATTTTATGATATATGATTTTATTTACATAACTAAAATTATTTTCTTAGTCACCTTGATTTACAAAAACAAATGAACACGGTATGGTTTTAATAACCTTTCATAAATAGATTTTACAAATTTTCATAACTGACAGATTGCTAGTTAATACTCAGTAACACTTAAATACTTAGTAACTTCTGCATATATGCATGAAAATTCTGAGGGGACTAGTAGGCACGAGTACTTTCATAACTCAGGACTAGACAATTAGGTTATTAGTCAAGGGTTAATTCCCCATCACTGGGTCAGTCACTGGCTCGGAGTCCTCACCCTGCTAACAAACCTGCTACAGAAACTCACTGAGTAGGCATTTTTAATAATCTGAAAGTGAACCCTTAGTTAATAAGACTAGCACTTTTAATAATCTGAAAGTGAACCCTTAGTTAATAAGACTAGCACTAAGCACGTCTGAAACCATAAACTCCCAACGAGATATTGGTAAAAGAACTCATAGGGCATCTGAAAAATGGCTCCAGCTTCAGCTGTGTTAGTCTCCAGTAAGTGCTTTTCCAGCTTCCTCCGGGTGTGTACCCAGCGCACACCACGCGGCTCCAACACATCCTCAGCCGAACCTTCCTGGCCGCCAAAACGCTGTTGATGTTACTGCCCTTACGCAATGCCTCTAAAACACAGCCTTGTAATAAACCTACAGGTGCGCCCCTCCCCGCTGCTTTCCATCCGAAGACCAGGCAGTGTTTGGCGACCGATCCTCCCCTGGGAAGTTGTGCTGAGACAAACACAAGAGCCACCAGGACTTTCCAAAAGCTCCTCCTCCCCCCAAGCTGGGTGGAGCGCGGTGTCTGTGACCACAAACAGGCAGAGAAGAATGACAAGCTTATGAGTCATGGTCAGAATCTAAGCAACAAAAATGTCTCGCTACAGCAGCATCAAGTGCACACACAGGAAGAGGGGATACACGTACTTTTCCACACAAGCTCTATAAGAGCCAGAACACTGTCTCTTCCTCGTCAGAACAGAAATCAGAGGCTAGGTGGTCCTTGGTCATTGTCCATGTTACTTCTGACATAACTAGCTGAACAGGCCCTTGTACGCTGAGCACCAGCTCCACCCACTCCTGAGGTGCGAGATGAGCCACTGCTCTCTGGTGCTGGGCATGAAGTGGACGGAAGGCTGGGGTGGGCTCCCAGCTGCCACCTCTCTGCCTGGACTGGAGGCCACTCCACAAGCACCCCGCCCCCTCCCTTCATACTGTTCTAGACCAGGAAGTGACCAGTGACAGGGCGAATGTGTCTCTGAGCTCTCTCCCGACACTGCCTGTCTACACAGCAAATATGGCATCAAATCCCTCCATTGTGCTAATCTAAGAATCATTTTAATCATGATAAAAAAAAATCAAATGTCTTCCTAAGAAAACGTTTTCCTTTAATAAAAAAAAAAAAAAAACTCAGGATCTGTGCCAAGACCCCTTCTCCCATACCAGCCCTGGCAGGTTTTGACACCAACACTCGGCCTTGCCAGGCTCCCATTCTCAACACTGTCAGGTCCTTTGGGCCAGTTTTGTCCTTGCTGCCTTTGTGGGGGGCAATGGGGGAGGGGAGCGTGTGCTTCATGTTTACATCTCGTTGCCTTGTTGGGTGGCAACCAGGAGAATCAAACAGATCAGGTAGTGAGTGAGGGACCCGAACGTGTGAGCACAGAGCACGGTGATCCCTGATGAACACAGACCAGCACCAGCGCTGCCGAGGGCTGCAGAGGAGGAGGGACCTACACACGGGACAGGGACTCCCATCCAGTGCACGACGTCTGCTGGGAGGGAAAAGCCGCCAGCCAGTGGGAAGGGCACAGTGAGGGGCCGGTGGACCATCTCGGCAAGTGTCCTCTCCTTGTGAGTCCATTACCTTTCACAAAGAAATGTTAACTATCAAACGAGTCCGTTAATTGTGCCGCTGAGGGTGAAACCATCCAGTTAGCATATACACTATCATTGGCATAGCGTGGACACCCAGTGCTAGTGCCATCGGCTCTCGTGAGTGGTACAGGACTCTCCTCAGGCCAGTTCGGGTCTGACATGCCTAAAAATGAAAACAGATCATTTGCTCTGCACTGAAGAACCCACGCTTCATGTGCAGACAGCAAGGTCTTGGCAAAACTCCCTGTGCGGTTCCAACCACACTCTGGTTTCTGTGCCAATTACACGCATGGTCTCCTGCTCCAGGTTTGCAAAGCGTGTGCTCAGGGGAACTATCACGAGCTCTCTTGGTAACTGGCCAGACGCGGCCAGTTTTGACTTTTATAAATTTCAAACTCTCAGATCTGACATATATTTGCCGACCTCTTTAGCTCGTTTTCTAAGGCAGCGGGAAGCATCAGCTCATCGCTGTGCTCAGTGGCTTACGGCAGCGGGCAGCTTCCATAGAAAGTTCTTGGACGGAAAGCCTGTCTTCCCCCCAAGTCTAGGCTGGAGGAGAGGGTCTTCCAGATCAAGAGTGCACACAGGGGAGCCCACAGCGGCGCCAGGACAGAGGCACGGAGCACCAGACCCCAAGCCAGCGAGGAATCGAGTGACTCAGGAGGCGTGCAGAGGGAACACACTCAGCTGAGAAATGCTTGAAATGCCAAGACTTCAAAAACAATCAATGATGAGGTTAGAAAACAGGGAAAATTTCAAGTATTTAATTGAAGACAAAAGAAGGAGTTTTGGCAAGAACCGTATTTACTGTCCATTGCGAGACCACAGCACCACAGACTACGTTCTTCCAGAAGCATCTGCTCTAGCTGTCAGCGCTGACTTCCTAAGTGACAGCCGTCATGACAGTGGGTAACGTAAAGGATGTGAAAACAGCTGCCTGCGTGTGCCCTCCCCGGTGCTGGCCTGTGGCTGGGCACCCCGCCCACCCAGACAGGGTCTGGGGCCACTGGCTGCGCTCCGTGCAGGTGCCTGCTGCTGGCTCCTCCTTTCTCAATCAAACGCCTCCCCAGTTTGAGTAAGTGTGTTCCAGTAGTTAAATTACAAGTACTGTGACTTGATGCCCACCCCAGAAATGACTTATTCATCATAGTCTCAACGTCCCCTGAGTGTTCTGCCCTGCGCTCTTTATCATCTTAAATTGCTGGGCAGTGTAGTAATTACTCTTATTTTCACATCCTTTAAAAAAACATAGTTGCAAAAATGCCTGAATGTCAACGGATGCAAACTCAGACATTACAAATAAAAAGGTTCAGAGTGGACTTTGGCTTCATTCAGACCAGAGAGACTCTTTAACCCCTTCCCCGACAATTTTTTTGTTAAAAACGTTTCTTTTTCAGACTAATTTTTTTATTTTGGTTCTATATAGTATTTTTGATGCGGGTTATGAAAACAGTTTGTAACTCGTCTTCCTATAAACCATATTTTTTTACCATATTTTCTTAGTATACTCGTCGACGACTGAAAAAGAACATTTTGTGAAAACGAGTATACACGTTTCTGCCGGGCAAGGGGTTTAAAAAGCATTCCAGAGAGTAAGGATAGTGCAGAGAGGAACAGAGTCCTAGAATCTAGTAAATGCATGTGAAATTCTACCATAGAGTTTGTTTTCAATCCACGTGGAGGGGAGGGTTCGAGGGAGGGGAGCATTATTACAGTCCGCCAGGGGCATCTCCTCTTCCGAGAGGCCGTCATCGTAAAGCAGGGAGTCGGACGGGGTGGGCGCGGCCAGATCCAAGTAGTCCTGGAACAGAGAGATGGCTGGTCGCCACTCCCCCCACATGTGCCACGAGGGACGTGCCCCTGGGCAGAAGCCCTGGCCTTGTCCCATCCGATGCCAGTCAACGGGCTTCTCCAGGAGACCTGAGCCCCTCACCAGATTGCCAGCTCTGAGGTCCCCCAGCACGTGCATCACCTGGCCCTGTCCCATAGTCCTCACGGCCTCCCCCCCCCCGCTAGAAAGTCGCCTCCCATGGGGCAGACATGTCCTCCGTTATTGCTCTGGTCCGATCTAGGCAGCGTGCAGCACCGCCCCGGTGAAACGTGGGGAGAACAGCCCAGCGCTTTCCTGCCTGCTTCTCAGCGCTGTCCCAGGAAGGCCGCCTCGGCCTCAGCTGTCACTTGTTTAGGGGGACCCTGCGTTGCTCAAGTGATACACTGATGCTAGGTTTCACTACAAATGGCCTCCACCACGCATCTTGTTTTTCCCGTCTGAAGAAATTACAACTGTCGGTTAACGTGTACATGTGAGGATGAACATCGATGTAAACACCACGAGGGGAGGGTCTGTGCATGTTTCTTTACACTTGCATTTCCATGAGCTAAGACGGAACAGGGTGTACAGCCATTGCTCCATAAATATTAGTTGAAACTTCGTTGACTTTCTCATTTTCCTACAGAGTTTAAACTGAAGGCACACGACTGAATGTTGCCTCTCAGATCTGTTTTATTTGGCCTACACTGAGCTTTTGAAAATGTAAATGAGTTGCCAACATTAAAAACTGGGAAACGTAGCATAAAAATCCCTTAAAACTCAGAAGATCTGACACACTGGAATTCATTTCCCAACAGGTCACATGCGGCTACAACAGGGGTCCTTTAGTGGGACTGGTGTGCTACTCCCTAGTCCGGCCCTCAGCCGGGTCCCTCCGAACATCTGCGTTGAGGACACTCATGTCAACGTTTTCCTGTAATTTTGTTTGGCTTTGGAATATTTCTCTCATACACCTGTCCTTTGAGAGCTCCTCCAAGTGCCATTCTGAAAACCTCGGTGTCTTCATGATTTGAAAAGAAACCCAAGGGACCTGGCGCCCTCCGTGGTCAGCAAGGCCTCTCCCCTGCACAGCTTCCCTC